CAAAACTCTAGAGAAAGTTATAGGGTGGAGGTCACCATCTCTGAAATATTACCTTATGCAAAGGAGTCCTGGTGTGGCGCTGTGGGTTAATGCACCAGACTGCAAAGTCGTTTGAACTGCAAGGTTGGAGGTTCAAGCTCACCAGCTGCTCCTTGATCCTGTACAGGGCTGCTATGGGTCGGAATCGACTCGGCGGCACTCAACAACAACAACTTGGCAGTTAAATTATAGGGACAGAGGAGAAACACTAGAGTGAGGTGAGGGCTAAGAACAGGCATTTGATGATAATCGACATTTAAGGAGTAGTCAGAGAAAACTGCCAGGAAGCCAAAGATTGGAAAATAATAGTTTTAATAAGTTAAGTCAGCAGAGCGGTCAAAGGTGAGGTCTGAAGAGAGCTTTGGAGGTAGCCATGCTGAGATGTCCCTGGCAGCATTTACCTGGGCATTTTCAGTAGAAAGATAGGGGATGGAAGACTGGGAGTGGAGATAGTCATCACAATTTAAGAGAAGAAGCTAAAAGCAATAGCAAAAGATGTGTTTGAAATAACTGGTGTGAGAAAGGGAGAAGGCAGTGAGCAGAATATGTAAATACCAACCAGCACTGAGCTAAAGTGAAGTGAGATTGGAGACTACAAACTTCTAATGTCACCAGTTTGAAAAACTGAATGATTTCCTTCAAGATTGCTCAAGTATTCAGTTGTAGAACCAAACCAAAACCCACAGTTTGTCAAGTAGATTCCGACTCATAGAGGCCCAATTGGACAGGGTAGAACTAACTCCCAAAGAATTTTCAAGCCTGTAAATCTTTACAAAAACAGACTGGTGGATTCAAACTGCTAACCTTTCTATTAGAAACTAAGTGCTTAATCACTATGCCATCAAGGGTTCCTTGTTCTAAGAATAGAGTTAATCAAAAGTAGAAATGTTCTCAGAATGAAAACAGAGAGACAAAGATCACATTTACTGAAGTTCCTGGCAAAAGAATGATTTAAAACATATACTATTGCTATACTATCACCATAGCCAATAGCCACGATAGCTACTTAAATTTAAATTAATTAAAATTATGTACAATCTAAAATCTAATTCCTCACACTATCTACATTTCAAGTGCTTAATAACCAGAGATTTCTATTGGAAAATGTTGTATTATACAGCTTAGACTGGAAACAGGTGAAATCTTGTTGAGGTAGAAGTAGGGGAGTAAACAAAAATGAAACCTGTAATGGGAGAGCTAAAGATTCTCAGGAAAGAGAAACTTGGTGGTAAGGTCCAGAATTATGTCATGGGAACTGGACTGCTGAAATAACACGCAAATAAAGATTTTTGGAGTTGGCAAGTTCAAGGAATTTTGAGGTAAGGTTGTCAGTGGACCCATGAGTAATGAAGTCACCTAAGTTGATGGCAAGAATTCATTGGAAAGACCTTGAGTCTAATGTAAAAATCCTCAGTGAACAAGGGGATAGTGACAGATGATTAGTTGCCAATAGCAATGAAAGAGGGGGACACCTCAAAAGATAGAGGGAGTTCCTCAAGATCCCCAGAAAGCTGATAAAACAAGCAGCAATGACGGGCAAGTATCTTCTTTTGGGTAGGGACAAATTCAAATTAAAGCACAACTTTGGAGGAAGCATATGACTAAGAAGTTGAAGACCTAGAAGACTTTGTTGTTATGGGAGAAGGCTTTGAGAAAGTCAAATAAAACTTTGGAAAAAGTTAAGTGAAAGACGGAAAATTCATGGGCCAAAGTAGTAACATGAGGAAGAAATGATCATTGAATATGTAAAACATATATCTTGGATAGTGTCAAGGAGGACAGAAGTCCCAGGGGGAGTCAGACACCTTCCAAGTTTAGCAGACTATATCATTTTGGTGTGGTATTCAAACAGTATATTGCTGAGGAAGTTCTCAAGTATCATTTTAAACAAACTTCTAATCGATCAGGACATCATTGCAGCATCTAGCTCCTGACATCACTGCAGCATGCAGTTATATGGAGACCCAGATAATTTCTTTCATCAAATACTGGAGAAGGTGAAGTTTCTAGGGCTATACCAGGAGAAGCCTCAAACCACTCAGGGAGAGCAGACATTGAAGTACATCTTCTCCCATGTGATCAAAGAGGGGATTAACTCCACATCCCCTATGCTTAGCTCTGAGTGATGTCATGGAAAATTGTGAAATACTTTCAGTTCCACTGATGAAGGCCTTCAGAGTAACATCTATCCCCCAGGTTAGGAGAAGGAGTTTGAGGAGACATAAACCAGCTGCTACAGAGTCAACTTCAATTCATGGTGACCCAGTGTGTGCAGAGAAAAACTGTACTCTATAGAGTTTTCAGTGGCTGAGTTTTGGAATTAGATTGTTAGGTCTTTCTTCTGCAGAATGTCTAGGTATACACAAACCTTCAAACTTTTGGTTGGCAGCCAAGCATGGGAAGAAACAAATGTTTTCTTCTCTGCCCCACTTTACAGACTGAGGCAGAGATCCTCTAGACCAACACTTCTCAAACTTGAATGTGTACCTGAAGCTTTTGTCAAAATGTAGATTCTGATGCAATGGGTCTAGGGTGGGATTTAAGATTGTTTTTCTAATTAACCCCCAGGTGATGTTAATGCTGTTAGTCTACAGGCCACACCTTCAATTGGTAGGTGAGGAGGGGGTCAGTTACTGAGTGGAAGAGAAAGCCCTGAGAAGGAGCCTGGTATGCAAGGATTGTACAGATGTTTTAAGGGAGAACCCCAGGAAGCTCGCAGAGAAACAGCCATCAAGGAACAAACCAAAGGATAAGTTATTTTCAGGTCCAAGAGGCAGAATTAATTGTCAACTGGCAGAATTTTCAACTGTGTGTTTGGTATCTCCATTAGATCATTTGCCTTATATGTTTGTTGTTAAGTGCCAGTGAATTGGTTCCAACTCATAGCGACCCTGTACAGGCTTTCCGAGGAGCGACTGGTGAGTTTGAGCTGCCAACTTTGTTGTTCAAACCAACCCAGTGGTCCAGTGCTTTTCCTACAGCACCACACCAGGATTTCTATATCATATGACAAATAGTAATAAAACCAGAATAAGTTTCCAAAATGATAGCTGCTCGCAGATTTTACAGCAGGTGGCACTCTTGTATTATCACTAAAACTAAACCAAACTCACTGCCATCCAGTCTAGTTGATTTCTGACTCAGAGTGACCCTAAAGGACAGGGTAGAGCTGCTCCTTAGTGTTTCTGAGGCTGTAAATCTACATGAGCAGACAGACTCATCTTTTTCCCTGCTGAGCAGCTGATGGGTTTAGAACCACAGACCTTGCCGTTAGCAGTCCAACTCTTAACCCCACTGCACCATCAATAAGAATTTAGCAAAGCAGGAGCCCAGGTCTCCCTTTAAAGTTATAAGTAAATACAGGGCAATCTTTGTTAGGTCACTCTTTCACTTCTCTTTGGAAATAGTAGCATGTGATGTACAATGCGATATTGTATACTTTTAAGTGCTTCACAGGTTGTGTTGAGTGTAATACAATAGACAGAGACTCAAACTTATGTCAGCTCTCATTGGTGTCTGGAGTTCTCTTCCCTTAGAATTCAAGACCACCACCAACCTGTTTGATTACACATACTCACTGGGCCAGTCTGCATGTAACCCTATTTTGTCAAATGCATGCCACGGTCATTGAAACGTCTACTCTCACTCTTAGAAAAGAAACCCATTGATCAGACCATTTTAAACTGCTCTCACTTCCCAAAGGATACCTCAAATGAAACCTCCTTCAACTGTTTCACCAGCCACTCTGTTTTTTACCTTAATATCAGTATCCCTTCACTGAAATCTTCAATGTCAGCGTTTTCCCCAAGATGGCATCTAACCCTCCACTGCCCCCTTTACCCTATGTCTCTCACCCACCACTACTTCTTGTCCAAGTCTCAAGTAATTTTGTGACATAGAAAAGACCTACACAAACCCTGCAAAAACCCTGAAGGAGTTTGGCTCAAATCCCTCACACAAACCCCAACATGCCTGTAGGGACCAAAGCATATTCCTGAGTGTGAGAAGCAAGTTTGCATCGGGGTTTCCCCAGTGCTCTCAAAGCACATCTTGACCTCCTCATCCAGCATTTCATTCATGTACTGTAAATGGTCCCTGGCCACCACTATCCCCAAACTCTCATCATATTTGCCCAGTTCTCTTTTTGACTCCTAAAAGAGATTGCCTTTAGAGAGGTCACTGAGAATTATTTAGCTATCTTAACTATTTAGTTGTTTCCAAATCTTGTTACACACACACACACACACACACACACACACACATATACTTATGTATGTATATATTGTTGTTGGTAAGTGCCTTCAAGTCAGTTCCGACCCATAGCAACCCTGTTTAGGGTTTCTGAGGAGCAGGTGAGCTTGAACCACCAACCTTGCAATTCAAATGACTTCGCAGTCTGATGCATTAGCCTACAGTGCCACGCCAGGACTCCTATGGTGTGTGTGTATACATACATATGTACATGTATACTCCTGGTGTGGCATTGTAGGATCAGCATTGGACTGGGAACCACAAGGTCAGCAGTTCAAACTCAGCAACTGCTCCTCAGAAAACCTACACAGGGTTTCTATGAGTCAGAATGGGCTCAACAGCACTTTATAGCAATTAATATGTATACTTGGGAGATCTGCCTGTTTTTCTTGAAGTGGAATTTACATTACTAGAACCATGTGCTGGGAAGGACTTTAAAGCATTTGGGCCACCTATTCATTAAACAGATGAGGAAACTGAGGCTCAGAGAGGTTGACATTTGCACAAGGCCACACATTTAGTTAGCAGCTAAGCCAGTGAGTCTCTAGTTCCCCATCTTGTATGCACAGCTCCAGGCTTAGTAGCTAGTTCTTCAGAATCATTACAGATAAGAGACCATGTGGATATTGTATAGAAAGAAAATGGAGTTACGCATTAATTTTTCTTCCTTCTTGTTTCTCCTTTCCCAATCTTCACCTTTCCCCTTTTAGGTGCTGCTGCCACCATAAAGACTGTGGCCTATTTCAATGAGACTGCACATTTGCCATGTCAATTTATTAACTCTCAAAACTTAAGCCTGGACAAGCTCGTAGTATTTTGGCAGAATCAGAAAATGTTGGTTTTGTATGAGCTATACGAAGGCAAAGAGAAAGCTGATAATGTTGCTCTCAAGTACAAGGACCGCCACATACGTTTTGACAAGGAGAATTTGATCCTGCATCTCCACAATGTTGAGATCAAGGACCAGGGCATTTATGAATGTGTCATCCATCATAAAAGTCCTCAAGGACTTAAGCATCTTTTAAAGACGACTGCTAAATTGTCAGTGATTGGTAAGTGGTTCGTGATATGTTCGGATTCCTGACCTGCTCAGATGAGACTTCATATGAATAGAGAAATATTGGAAGGGACCTGTTGAAAAAAGGCACAGAACAACCATTTTAGGAAGTCCATTTGAAGTGAGTTCAGGGTCTTGGAGTAAGGAACTGAAAATGCTTTGTATTTTTTATAGTTTGCTTCTGAAGGATCAGTAATAGTCTTCTTTGGAGACAAATTAGAGCCAATTGAACAAAAGTAATATGACTAAGTAAAAACTACATACAGGTCCTTTGAACTTTACTAATGGTGCTGTGAGTTAATGTGCAAAGCCATTTGAACTGCAAGGTCAGCAGTTCAAGCTCACCAGCTGCTCCTCGGAAACCCTATACAGGGTTGCTATGGTCAGAACTGACTCAATGGAACTTCACAACAACAACAAGTTTTTCTAACCATATAGTCCTTAAATCTCTTTTATATCCATTTTCTTCTTTAGTCTAAGATTTTTCATTCACAAAACCTAGCAAAGATTGTAGTTAACTGATTTGGATTTTTTTTGTTGTTGTTGTTGTTATGCCAACCATGAGCTCAGTAGGCAAAAGGAAAATAACTTAATAAGTAATCCATAGATTGACAAACTAATCCCCTCTGCTTCATGAAGATTTTAAAAGCCTAAATATCACCACAGATTTTTTAAATTATCATACAGTAAACACTGACTTTTTTTTGTTGTTGGCTAACAGCTTTATGATTTTCACACATATATTTGTGTAACCAACAGCATAATCAGGATACAGAACACTTCTAACACCCTAAAAAAAAAAATCTCTTTCATGCTATCTCTTTTATAGTCATGCCTTTTCTGCACCTTTGTTGTTGTTGTTGTAAGCCATCGAGTTGGTTCCAACTCATAGCAACCGTGGGTAGGATTTCCAATGTCTGATGGGTTTGCACTGTCAACCTTGCAGTTACCAGTCCAGTGTTTATCCTATAGTATCATACCAGGGCTCTCTCTGTACCTATAACCCCTGTTTTTCATCTTATACTTTTGTCTTTTTAAGAATACCACATAAACGGAGTCCTGGTATGTCACTGTAGAATAAGCACCGGACTGTTGACCGCAAGGTTGGTGGTTCAAACCTACCAGCTGCTCCTTGGGAACCCTATACAGACTCACTGTGAGTCAGAACAGACTCATTGGCACTTAACAGCACAGTATATAACCTTTTAAGACCATGTCTTTTTATTCAACATAATGCCATTGAGATTCATCCACATTGTTGCAGGTTACAAAAGTTTGTTCCTTTTTATTGCTGAGTAGTGTTCTACTATTTATCTACTCATTCACTGAAAGACATTTGGGTTGTTTCCAGTTTGGCGTTACTATAAACAGAGCTGCTATAAACATTTGTGTACAGGTTGTTGTGTGAGCATACATTTTCATTTCCCTAGGGTATATATATGTGGAGTCTTGGTGTGGTGCTGTTGGATATGCACTGGACTGCTAACCACAAGGTCAGCAGTTCAAACCCACCAATCTCTCCTCAGAAGCCCTATACAGGGTAGTTGTGAGTCAGAACTGACTCAATTGTATGTAACAACAAATAACAACTGGGAATATATGTTGTTGTTGTTAAGTACAGTTAAATTGGTTCCAACCCATAGCAACCCTGTTTAGGGTTTCCGAGGAGCAGCTGGTGAGCTTGAACCGCCGACCTTGCAGTTCAAATGGCTTTGCAGTCTGACACATTAACCCACAGTGCCACATCAGGGAATATATGTTGTTGTTGTTGTGAAGTGCTGTCGAGTCAGTTCCAACGCATAGTGACCCTGTATAGGGTTTTCAAGGAGCAGCTGGTGAGCTTCAACTGCCAACCTTGCAGTTCAAATAGCTTTGCAGTCACTTCACCACACCAAGACTCCAGCTACTAACCAATATATTGGCAGTTTGAACCCACCAGTAGTTCCATAAGAGAAAGATATGGCAGTCTACTTCCATGAAGATTACAACCTTGGAAACCCTATTCATATAAGGCAGTTCTACTCTATCCTAAAAAAGGAGACGTTCTGCTGCCATAAAGATTTACAGCCTCGGAAACCCTGTACAGGGTCGCTATGAGTCGGAACCGACTCTACGGCACCTAAGAACAAGAACAACTCTGTCCTGTAGAGTCATAATGAGTTGATATCTACTTGACCTCAGTGGGAGACTTTTAAGAGAGAGTCAATGGCTAGTTTCAGATTATTTTTTTATAAAACCAGAAAAGGCAGATCAGCATCTATTCTAAAACCACAGAGTAAAGCAGAAGCAAAAACAGAAATAGTAGGAGGAGTTGTTCTTTTAGAGCCCTGTGTGATTCAAACGAGGCTACTGGGCTGTCGGAATAGTTAACCAAGTGCTAAGTCAATGTTTTCAAAATTGTGGTCTGATATCAGCTCTGGTAGCATAGTGGTTACGAGTCGGGCTGCCAACCTCAAGGTCAGCAGTTTGAAACTACCAGCTGTTCCGCAGGAGAAAGATGAGGCATTCTGCTCCTGTAAAGATTTATAGCCTCAGAAACCCTGTACAGGGTCACTGTGAGTCAGAACTGACTCCACGGTACACAACAACAACAACAATCATTGATGGAACATGGTATGTTTTAGGTGGAACACAGACAAGATTTAATTTTTAACAGTTTTTTGTTTGTCTCAATATGTACTAAACAAAACCCCACAAACTATAACTCGTCCAACCTGTGATTTCACAGATATTGTTGCTTAGGATAAGGCTAAAGTCAGTAGTGCTATGACAATCCACATAAAGTATGGCATCAAGAGAATCAGTGTTTTTATCAAGCTCATTTATTTCCGCTAGAAAGAATTTGACCTTCATCTTATAGCATAAGATGAATACACCCTGATAGTCATGTCAGTGCCAGTATTCCGAATTCCTAAATCCAAAATCCCCATCCATTCACTGACCATCATCATGGTTCAGAGTATACCATTCCCATAGATTGTAAATTTCTAGTGGAACTTTAGCCCTTTCTACCCTCAGTCTGAAATATACTCCATAGGACTCTTGGGTCTTTTGTCAGACCACTTCCTCTTACCAAAGTCTCCACTCCCAGGAACGGTGGCCCCATTGCATATCTTTGATGACTCATTTCAGCCCTGAAGTCTTTCAGCAAATACCCCCTTGATTTGAGTAAGCAGGAAGTGAGATTGTCCCAAACCTCCATTCCAGAACAATAAACATGGGGATCATGATGTAGCTCTCACACATTAGGACAACCAGGGCTCCCAGGTGTGCCCACAATGAATTTCAAGGTCAGGTATCCAGTTATTTGTTGTTCTAGATACATTCCAACTGAGACTGATTTTCTCTCTCTCTCTTCTGCTTTCAGCTAACTTCAGTCAACCAAAAATAATGCAAGATTCTAATTCAACAGACAAATCCTATAACAATTTGACTTGCTCTTCTACACAAGGTTACCCACTGCCTAAGAAGATGTATTTTTTGGTAGAGAGTGAGAATTCGACTACTACATATTTTGCTGTCATGCAGAAATCTCAAGATAATGTCTCAGAACGCTATAATGTTTCCATCAACTTTTATTACCCTGGACTTCATAATACAACGAATATGACAATCCTGTGTGTCCTCTGTGTCGCAGATGTACAGTCTTTGCAATCCCAGACGGCTGAGATGTGTCTTCAGTCCAAACCTTATGTTACAGGTAAAGCTGCTTGTCATGTATATATCCTGATAAGACCCCCCAACAGAATCAGAAAGTCATGAGATATACATATTGAAAATAGGATTTTAAAAAGGTTAAATTAGAATCTAAATTGTGTCCCTTGGAAATATGTAACTAAATTTAAATTAATAAGGGCTGATGATCAATTTTATAGGTAGGTGTTCAGAGGAAGGCAAGACCTTGAGAATTGGGAAGGCTTTTCTAAAGAAGTAGGACCTTAAGCCATATGAACATGAAAAAAATAAGTGGGTTTGCTAAGCTCGGTGGGGAGTCCTAGTGTGGCACCACTGTGGGTTACTGCATTGGACTGCAAAGTCCGTTTAAACCAGAAGGTCGTCAGTGCAAGCGCACCAGCTGCTCCTAGGAAATCCTATACAGGTTCGCTATGAGTTGGAACCGACTCGACGGCACTTAACAACAACAACAACAACAACAATAACTATTACAAGTTTGGTGAGGAGTGAGGAGAGCATTTTAGATGGCAGGTGCTCAAACTGGCCATGACTTCCTAAGCAGCAGAATTCTGACAGTGTCCAGGTTCAGTGTGTGAGAGAACCACAACTGATTAGCAGTATCTGATATGGGCACAGGCAGCAGTAGCAGGATCAGTATACACGTGACAAGGAAAGACTCAGACGAAGAAATGCTATTGGCACATCCACAGCGTCATAGTGCAGTGTTAAGCCCAACTGGAGGAAAGGGTAATAGGAGTCTGCCATTTTAAAGTACCAGCTTTTCCCTAGATGCACAATGGCCATAGTTGAGAGGCCACTTTTGAAGAGCAATGACTTCAAGATTTTTCTCCTCAAATGCTAGCACTCTGAATCCACACTGTCCTAATCACTGCTTGTTCTGGCCTTGTATCCTGCTTTCATCCATCTGCCACTCTGCATCCTTTCTCCATCCAGCTCCGGTCCTTTGGTTTGCTCCCCTCCAAACCCATCCAGCCTCTGGGAAGGGAAACTGATTCAGCCTAGGAATTCGTCCAGAAGCACTGGCTAGGTCATAGTTAGCTGCTGAGGTCCTGAGACTGGACCCTCCTACAGCCTCGTATTGTGCATTTCAGGCTTTTTAGAGTCCTGGGTAGATGTAGGCAGGTAAATAGGAGAACAGCAGCAAGAAAGATAAACCTTTTATAAATGACTTACTGGATGATTGAAAACTAGTGGTCTTTTCTAGCTCCAAAGTCACCTGAGACACACCAGATTTCAAATGACCACAAACACTGGATTGCTGGCATCCTTACAGTGATCATTGTCGGTATGATGGTAGGCGTTCTAGCCCAATGGAAGAGGAAGAAGAAGCAGCCTGACCTCTCTTATGAGTTTCATGAATGTGGTGAGTCAGTTCTTGTCCTCTCTGCAGATGGTCACTTTTCAGCTCCTTCCCTTTCAGCAGCCTGTTGGAGAGCATACTGGGATCCCAGACAGGCAAAAAGTTAGCTAGTTAATGGGGAAAGGTTTCTGTCAGGGTTTAGAGCCCAGATAGACAGGACTCAGCTGATAATGTTGCTCTGAATTACTAGAAAAGGCAAAGTTGATAATTACCTGCTTTACCTATTCCATAATGCTACTATAAGAATTCAAGGGAGCAAAATGATGAAAACATTTCTTCTAAATGTTAAAACCACACATATATAAGATTTTGATGTTCAAGCAGAGATGTTTGGTGAGAAGTTTAGACTCATCCTTCCATCCCTAAGAATCTACACTTCCTGTGATACAAGGTGGTGCTATTATTCCCCAATGACTTAAAAAAAAAAAACATGAAATATTAATTATGACAAAGGAATGCATATTCATTATTAATTATTCAGAAAATAAAAATCACCTATAATTCCACTTGTGAGAAATATTATACATATAATATTTTGGTCTATATATTTCAGACTTTTCCATGCCTATGTGTGACTGTGTTATATACCATAAGTAGTATCTTGCTGTTGTTGTTGTTGGGTGCCATGGGGTTAATTCTTGATGATACCATGTTACAGAATAGAACAGCCCCCATAGAGTTTTCTAGGCTGTAATCTTTATTTATGAGATCAAATTGCCAAGCCGTTTTTCCTGTGGAGCCACTGGTGGATTCAAACTGCTAGTCTTTGGACTAGCGGTTTAGGGATAAGCATAATACTATGAGGACTATTTTCCACAATTTGAATAATGTCATGTGTACTGTTTTCTAACTTTTTTGTACTTAGTTTAAGAAGAAAATTTGTACTGTCATTAAATATTCTACAGCATCATTTTAAGTAGATGCAAAAATATTCCATTATGTGGCTACCTCTTAATTTGTTTAACCAACCCTAATCTGCTGGACACTTCTGTTGTTCCCATAGTTTAGCTATTGTCAACAGTACTACACTGAATAAGCTCCCCACTGATTTCTATTGTGTAAGTGGCATTTTGTGGGGGAAATCATCCCTGACTTTGTAATAATCCTGTGCCTGATTGGGATATGGGCTACTTTGAGCCAGCCTCTAAGGTAAGATTGGACTTATCTCAGTAATGATTTCAATAGTAGTTGGTTGCGTTGGTGCTAATAAGTCAGGAGTCCTGGTGGGACAAATAGATAAGCACTCATCTGTTAACCAAAAGGTTAGTAGTTCAAACCCACCCATCCAGTGGCTCCGAGAGAAAAAGATCTGATGATCTGCTTCCATAAAGATTACAGCCAAGAGAACCTTGTGGGATCATCATGAATCCAAATGGACTGCAGAGCACCAAAATGATAATAGTAATTAAATTCAACCTTTTCTACTCACTTGTGGTACAACTAAATAAAGATCAAGTGAATAAGTGTTCTGTTCAACATCTTATTTAAACCTCAGAGTACTGATTTTAAGATTTATCCAACAATAGGTGGCTGACATAAATAGCCATTTATTTCATACTGATGCATTTTCAAAAAATAAGGACGCTCTTGAATGATAAACAAATTTCAATCAATTAATATGAAGCATACAGTAGAGCCATTCAAATGACTAAAGTACAAGGTAGAAGGAAATAGTTCTAAGATACAAAAGTGTAAAATTCAGAGCACAGAGTCAGATATACAGACTTATCATGCTTGTCCAAGCTTTGACTTTTCAAGAAGACGATTTTAAGTTTCTCATTCTTTCAATCTCATTGACATTTAGACTGAGCCAAATATGCAAAAGTAACCTTCAGGAAAAAGTAACCTTCAGTTATCATGTGCTATTGTAACAGAAATAGCACTACTGGATGACTTTAACGAACAGAAATTTATTCTCTCGCACTTTAGGAGACTAGAAGTTTGAATCCAGGGCACCGACTCTAGGGGAAGGCTTTGTCTCCATGTTAACTTTGGAGGAAGGTCTTTGTCTCTTCACCTTCTGCATCCTGGTTGCTGCGAGATCTCAATTTATGTCTTGATCTCAATCTTCGCTAGGTCTAGACAGTTCCAAAGGATATGCTTCACTCCAGCTCTTCTTTCTTCAAAGTGACATCCCTCTTCTCTCTGCTCAATTCTCTTTGCTTTATCTCTTGTAGAAAAAAAGACGTGACTCAAGTAAGAGTGTGACTTGTGCAAGGTTGGGACTTGAGTAAAGGTGGGACTTTTGTAAGGCTATGACTCAAAGTTCATCCCATACTAATCCTGCCTCATGAACATATGTCATCATTGTTGTTAAGTTCCATCGAGTTGGTTCTGACTCATAGATACCCTATATAGGGTTTCCAAGAAGCAGCTGGTGTTTGAACCGACAATCTTGCAATTCAAATGGACTTTGCAATTCAGCACCTTAACCTACAGTGCCATACCAGGACTCCTGATGAACATATAGAGTTATGATTTATAACACACCACAAAATAGAGGATAACTGCATCTGATCACAAAACGAAGGACAACCACACAATACTGGGAATCATGGCCTAGGCAAGTTGACACATATTTTCAGGGTTGGGGTGGGATGGGGGGATGGGGGCACACAATTCAATCTGTGACAGCTTATGAATAAAGTGTTCTTAACTTTTTTTCCACTTTGGAATGAATTGCTTATAAATGAAACAAAGAATAAAGGAAGGAAAAGAGAGTAAGGTTTTTTTACTCCCCCTGAGACAATCATAAAAATTTAGGCTACTAGATAAGAGGGTTACAGAGATGCATGTGTACACATAAGAGAAGTTGGAAGAGAAAGATATACCATGTACATCAAAAAGTACGTGGAAAAAATCCATCATTTTTTAAATTCCATTTTTCCATGAACATTTTGAAGCCCCCACATAGATAAGAGATGGCTGTAAATTTGGATTTTGTAGTTTTAGCAGTGTCTGCTTTGTGTCTTTGTTTTGTGGATACTTCTGGCATTGGCTAGGTGGCAGGCAGAATAATGCACACTCACCCCTAAAAAGGAGTCCTGGTGTAGTACTGTGGGTTAATGTGCAGGACTGCAAGGTCAGTTTGAACTGCAAGGTCCTTAGAAACTCTATACAGGGTTGCTATGAGTCAGAAATGACTCGACAGCACTTAACAGCAACAACCCCCCAAAATGTCCACATTCCTAATCCCCAGAACCTCCAAATCGTTATCATAGTAAAAGGGACTTTGCAAATGTAAAAAAGTATACTGGATTTTGAGCTGGTAAGATTATCCTGGATTATTTGAGTAGACCCAATTTAATCAAGGACTCCTGGTGTGGCTTTGTTGAATAAGCACTGAACTGTGAACAACAAGGTCAGCAGTTCAAACTCACCAGCTGCTCCTTGGAACCCCTATAGAGGGTTATTATGAGTTGGAACTGACTCATTCAACAGCACTTAACAACAGCAAAGCAATCTAATCACATGAGTGGGTTAGAGAAATGGGAAAAAAGGAGGAAGGAACTGAAACCTGGGAGACTCCACCTATCACTTCTGGCTTTGAGATGGAGAAGGGGTCATGAGCCAAGGAATGTGAGCAACCTCCTCAAGAAGCTGGGAATGCCCCTAAGGCATCAGGGAAGTACTCACATCCCTTAGAATAATAAACCATTTGAGATCAAAGGGCAGCATTTGCCCAAGGGCAAAGTTTCAAATGGTTAGAAAAGAAGGCAGAATGGAAATAGAAAACACAAGGAGGATGCTGGGTAAGTGTTGCTACCTTGTTGGTACCTTGTTGGCATTGCAATCAATGACATGAAACAAAATGGGTATGAATTGTTGAATAGAAAACTGATCTGCTCTGTAAACCTTTACCCAATACACAATAAAAAGTTAAATTTTTTTTTTTTAAAAAAAAGAAAGAAAACAGGGGTCTCAGTTGTATAATGACAAGGAATTGAATTCTGACAGTGTAGAGACATAGAAGCAGGCATGTTCCATCCACAGAGATTTACTAATAAACAGTAGGAATTTCCTCTAAATTGGAGCATCCTTGAACATTAATCCTTTTCCAAACCAGACAGCCTAATAATAGCTTTTCTATGCCTCAACCATACACATTGATCCTGTTTAGGTTGTTAGCATAAATAAAAGGGAAATGCCATGATTATTCGCTTCCCTTTTTTGTTTTGCTAAATAGGGAAGATGCAGCATGAGAATTTTGACCCATGAATTGCTGTCTTTTCTAATGAAAAATTACTCTATTAGTTTACCCATCAGAAAGAAAGACTAAAATAGCTCTCTCTTCTGAAATTTTACTTCTTCATTTGGGTCTTGTGTAACTGAAATTTGTACATAAAAGAGCCCTGATATTGTTCTTATTAAGTGCTGTCAAATCAGTTTTAACCCATAGCAACCCTGTACAGGGTTTCCGAAGAGTGAAACCTCGGTGAGCTTGAAACATCGACCAACCTTGAAGTTCAAACTGACTTTACAGTCCAGTTCATTAACCCACAGCACCACACCAGGGCTCTTAAAAGAGCCCTAGCAACTAGCTATGATCAAAACTTGCCTCCCTTGAACAAACCTAGAGGAGTCTCAGCTCTTCTGAAGGATGATATCTAAAAGGGCACGTGTCTTTCTAAAATAAATTTTAACCAGCATTTAACAGAAATCTACACAGGATTTAAAAACTAAAAGTTGATGATATCATCAAACTGCCCTTTGAAATGTTAACTCTGGAAACCTAAAGTTTAGACTCTGGTTTTTTGTTTGTTTGTTTTTAAATAGACACTTTTATAAAACGGCCAGGATTTTATATAGGTTTGAAGCAATAATTAGAATGATGGTCTAGAGACATCTGAAATAATGTGGGTAGATCTTCATGTGTGCTATTCTTGATGTCATCTCACAACTCATCTAGTCTTTGCTCACTAATGTTCCAATGTGTTACTCTGTTCTTGAGATGGTTTGCATATTCAGATTGGGTATACTCAAGGTCTTGGACTTGTTTTAATTTTCTTCAGCTTTGCTTTGAATTTGTATATGAGAAATGGATGGTCTGATTTGCAGTTAGCCTCTGACATTATCCTGACTAATGTTATTGAGCTGAAAAAGCCCAATTGTTTGTTTCCCCAAATGTGTTGTTGTTGTTGTCAGGTGCCATCGAGTCGGAAC